ACTTTTGTCTTGTGTAGTGGCTGACTTTTGGGTTTTCCAAGAAAATTACCAAAAAAGGAAATTTTTAGGGAATTTTTTGATCAGCGGAAAGAGTTTTTTTTTTTCCAGATTTAATTCCTTATATAAAGGACAGCACCTAGCTTTGTAATTACATACTCTGCTAGTAGCCATTGGTACTAACAATAAATGAGGATCTTTCAAACATTCTGACTGGCTCACATATTATTGTTGACATTTATGAACTCAAGTTTCAATTGGTGTAATAATGTTAACCTTCCAGTCTTCCAGCTCGGGATTTTTTGAAGGTAGGATAAAAACTTCCTAAATTACTTTATGTATAAGCTTTACCACTAAGTATTCTTAATAGCTCTATACTTTCTTTGATTTGGACTTTTTGGACAGTAGAGGTTGAAACCTACTTGATATACAATTAGGATATAGGTGGCTCTGACTTGAAAAAAGTCAATCGAGTATCTTGTAACCTTTATCATAGTCAGATGGACCCTTTCTTGTATCCAATAATATATTGGTACTGTGTCTTATATCTATTTGCATCACCACATGTAACTTATAGTAAACTCCAGGTTCTTATGAATCTGAGGAAATGCATTCAAACATGTAATATGGTCAATAGGAGCTTATTTATCAATCTTGTTCAATGTGTTTCATATCAACCAATTAGAATCAGTGAGATTTGTGCTACAAAAATTTCAGAATCAAGCTAGAGTAGGCAAAATTCCTCAGAAAATTGTGAAAAAGATAGTTTTGAGAGGCCACAAACCAGTCAAAGGGTAGAAAAAGTAAGTTCTTTGATTGGAACATAATCTCTATTATCTCTATCATAGTTGAAAGATAGGCAATACTTCACTATTGGTTCTTTTCCCTTTAGGAAGTTTTTTGCCATTGGTAGTAAAGGTGGGAGCTGAACTTTGCAGGTCACAAGAGTTTAGTTTGTTCAAAGGAGATTGTAAATAAGAGAGAGAGGAAGTGAGAGAGTTCTGAAAGAACTTTTTTGTACTGGTTTAAAGAAAGTAGTAAGACTTTATTAACAAGGAAGTATAAAAACTTCTTGCGAACATCTTTTTTGTGTGTGGTCAGAGAATTAGTGGAAAGAGTTTTGAATAAATTAATAATCAACTATATATAATAATATATTGATTATTATAATATAATATTATAACTATTTATTTAATTTTTTAATAAGAATATACAGTATTATTGTAATATAATTGCAAATTAAAAAAATAAATATTTATTAAATAAAATAAATTTAGAAATTAAATATTTATGATTTTTTGAATTATAAATTTTATTGAAATCAAAATCTTATTAATTAATAAAGTACTCTTATTTATAAATCTATAATATTAATAATAATACTTTAAGTTATAAATTCTAAGATTTTAAGTTTAATATTTTGTAAAAAGTTACAAAAATATTCTTTTGATCAGGTTTATGAAATATCATATAAAAGTTATATTGAATTATTTAAATTTTATTTAAATTTAACTAAAGTTATATAAAAATAAATTTTTTGATTATCTATTAATTAAAGATGCTCTCAAACTTCTAGTGATAGAATGAAAAAATCCTATATCATATAAAATTCTTATAGAAATAAAATGACAGAACAAAACTTTAAATGATCCTATAAGACAATTTATCAAAAAAATAAATAATAAGACTATAGTATATCAGTGGACATTACAAAACAGAATGGAAAGAAAATGGAACCATCAAATTTAAAAATAACAAAACTATACATGTGATCTAGTATGGGAGAGAATAAATAGCCATATATGGGATATATCTTTCAAAGATTGTCAAAAAAAAAACATTCTAATCAAATTAACAAATGGTAAATTATCAATATTGAATAAACTGATGATAAGAAGGCCAGACCTATACAAGCAAGTGAAATATACTGCATGTGATCTTCAGAAGAAAAAAACAATTAATCACTTTCTAGAATATCTAGTGTATAAGGAACAAATAATAAAGATATGGAATAAAGGTCTTGAAGGAGTTTTAATAAATTTTAAAAAACTTTTACAGGAAAGGAAAAAGAAAGCAGAAGAGAAAAATATTATATTAATAGTAGATAATAGTAAAGAAATATGTAAAATAAACAAGTGGACATCCAGACTAATAGAATAGTTCTTAGCAATTAATAAAAATACATTAAGTTTTTTTATAGGATTAATAAGAAGTGAACTCATTCTCGAGATGGCAGATCTTAAATGCCATGATAAAAGAATTGGAAAAGAAGCAAGAAGATGAATCAAGAAGCTATAAAGTATGACTTGTAATTAGTTCTGGAAGAAGGTTTGAAATGCAAGATGTGAAAGAATAATAAAATGGAAAAGATTGCAAGAAATCCAAAAAAAGGGTAAAATAAAAAGATCACCTAACCTCTCAGGTACTAAAACCATATAACTGGAAAGAAAAACTCTGATATTGGAGAAAAGAAGATTAGAAGATAAGGATTTAAAAGATATCTTATCAAGAGGAGTTAGATTTGGGATGAGATGATTCGTAATGTCAAAACTTAAAGAGTGATCCGCAATAGTGGCTTGTAGACAATAATATTAAGAGTTGAAAGGATTTTTACCTGAACTCCTAATGGAGCAATAAATCACTCCCAAAGTTGCACTTAGAGTAGTAATTATAAAAACAAGTGAGCTAGTTAGCATTTTTTAGCTTTAGCAATTCATATTATATGTATAGTTTACAAATGGTTAATAAAGCACATATAACTAGCCTGACAGAGAGTTAAAAAAAAAATTATCTATTAATCAAAAGTATAAAAAAAGGTTTTGGATTTAACTAATTAATATATCCTATTAACTTTCATTATATTAATAAATTTTAAAACCTTGTTTTTAGGATTGCAATAATTATTTGAACATTTATCAACTTTTTATTCTAACAATCTTTAAAAATTAAGAACTATCTAGTATGAAAATATTTCAATTTAATATTTACTTAAAAGCATAGATAACTTTAAGTAAGTTATCTTAAAACTACAGGTGGTAATAAAGATTATCAAGATATCTAATAGTTTTATTTATCTTTGCAAGTATATAATCTTTTTATAATATTATAATTAAACTGTTAATATTTAAACAAGTGATAAGAATCTCTTTCCATAGGTTTTTTCAGGCATATAAGCTCTTGTCAAGAGATATTGCTAAGTTAAGTAGATAATAAGTAGAATTAATTTAGAGATAGTACTATACTGTATATTGAAATATTTTATATATATCAACAAAGAAATTAATAGTCAATGAAACATAATATAGCATGCATTTTATTCAATTTAAGGATATTTTAAAGGGCAATTATTATTCACAAAGGAAAAAGTAATTGAATCCATCTTCGCGAATCTTATTAACAGGTGAAAATATTTTATCGATATTTCAAAATTAAAATCAAACATCCTATTATGTAGTTAACTCCAAACCTTTAATTTAAAATGTTATAATTATAATTCTACAAAATATAATTTCTTAAAGAAAACTATTTACAAGGTTAATAAATGAACTTTTATTTTAATTTTGCCGTACGTATACGTATTGGGAATGACGCATTTACATAGAAATGTTCTTTCCTTTCATGGCGTTGATGTCATATTTCAACTAGTTCATCACATTTCCCAAGGTACTTAATATCGAGGTTAGTATGCACCATCGACCTCAACACCGTTTCTCAGATCCATTACTTCTTCTCTTTCTTCTTTCTCCTTCTCCTCTTCAATAGTATTCAGCGTCTGTTGTATGGGTAACGTAAAACATCTGCGCTTTGACTTTTCCCTTTTACCTTTTCTTGTTGGCATTCTCCCATTCCATTTTGTTTCCAACAAATATAACCTTCGTTTCTCCTTCATTTCCCTTCTTCCTTCCCTGATCTCCTTCATCTGCATCTCCCTCGCAGCCCTTGCGCCTTCAACCTCGCCACCCTTCCCCAACATCAAACTTGATAAATTTAGTCTCCCCTCATATAGGCTTGTGGCACTTAGTCTTCGACTGCTACCGTTACCAAAAAATCGGTTCTCACGTGTATTTCGACCACGATCCGGAACCGATGAGAACTTTTTATTGACATTCAACTTTTGATTCTTCCTTTTTACCACAAAATCGTGTACCACACAACTCACGCAAAATAGTATTAAAATGCCGGCCACCACAGCAGCAGCCCAGCACTCTACGTTGCAGACTACTTTGAAGTGTGATTCTGGAATTTTGTGATGGTATTTGTGATGATGGGATTTCCTAGGAAGAAGGGTACTGATGGAGGATAGTTTGGAGGTGGCAGAGGGTATCAAAAGGTATGCCGTGAGAAAGAACGGGTAGAATGAAGAGGGTTGATATAAGGATATCAAGAAGAAAGGGGATATCAAGGAGGAAGGAGATAACGAGTTTTGATTTCTTTTGAGATTTACCATTGTTCTTTGATGGGATAATAATGATGATGTGAACTATTTGATGCCAGAAGGAAAACCTTGTTTGGTGGAGAAGGTACCCTCCTACTGATGGCGTTCCCTGGTATTGTTATTCGATATGGCTTGAGTGGGTAAGATCGATCGATGAGACGAAAGGGGGTTTTTTTTTCGGTAAATTGCGATGATGCAAGTAGGTTATATTACGTGATAGATTGGCGAAAGATTGATGCTTTGCTAATCTTAATTTACGTTAACTATGACGCCAATCAAGCAGAACGTTCCTTGAGGATTAAAATATCAGGTATATGGTAAGTAAACTGGCGAGTATCTATCGTTAATTTGCGTACCATATGTTTCGTTCCATTTTTCGGCATTGATTATTTTTTTTCTTTCGAGTATCAAATTAATTCTCTGAAGGAGAAACGAACAGTTGAACATGATGTAATGGATTAGCCTATGATGGTTTTCCAATTTCATTCGATATACTGTGCGTAGCAAGTAAATGTATTTTAAATCCAGTATATTTGGTGTTGACGGAACACTAGGTAATCATCCAACAAGCTATTACGGAAATTGAGTCGTCGAATACGCCTCGAATGTAAAGTAATCAATAATCATTCAAGAGATAAACTAACATCTCGCGGGTTCTTTTCGATGGCCAACTATGCGACTTAACCATTATCCATTTTTTTAGAGCTGTCGTATAAATTATTTCACGTGATATAGCTTCGCATTATTTATTTATATTTATAGCAGTACCGCAGGCATCTGCTTAACAACAATATTATGTACTTTATTTAAAAAAAAAATCGTGGATAAGTGTTGACGAATTCTTAAGTAAACACATACAGAAAATACTACATTTTGGAAATGATTTCTCCCCCCATTTTTTTTCTGTTTTCTGTTTTTTTTTTCTTTTTTTTTCACTGCATTATGCCGATTTTGAAAAAGGAAGTAACCAGATTTTGAAGTTAATTTAAATTATCCAAGACTCTCCCGTATAATGAAAAACTAAAAATGCAAATAATGCTGAAATCTACATTGCTAAAATAAAAATGTGTGGTTATATTGTATGTGCATGTTGGCCAGCCAGATCCTCAATGATCCCAACTTGGAAATTTTTTCGAACAAATGGCACAAGAATCTGTACATTTATTAATGTACTCCATGTAACATTTCATGTGCATCAAATGGCCACAACCGGGATTCAAAATCATTCTACCGCCGCGTAATTCCAATGGTTCTATACATATAAAACATTCCTCTGTTTGATCGTCATCGGTGGGGCCATCGGCATCTGATCTTGTGGAAATTTTCTCGGGGTTCGGAGTTTGGCGAGATTCGGAATGTGAATTCTTACATATGTATGCGGATGGTGAATCGTTCGTTACGTCTGAGTTGGAAGGAAGTGAGAGTGAACGAGAGTGGGATAAATTTGATGGAAGTAAATTTGCATATGCCGAAGAATATATTGAAGATGGCTGGTTTCGACGTGGCACGGAGTGCGATTCCCAATTAAATTGATCCGGTGTTATATATCGTGATTGACGCCTCAGGCTGTATCGTCGCGTGTTATGTCGAACTCCTGGTCTCGAACTAACGACGCGACGACTATTGTTAGCAAATAGCGTCGATGGAATAGGGATACGACGGTTATACATCGACTCAAATGGTGCGTCATCGTCATCTTCACTTGATGATGATGACGAATCGCCAACATCCGTATATCCGTCTTCGTCACTGTTGTCATCATCTTCGACCGTAAGGTTAAGTGTCGGTGATGGCGGTGTAGGTCTTATGGGTTCAGGAGGGGGAGCACTCGATGCAGGGGGTCGTCGAGATGCCCCATCATTTACTTGCTCGTGGTGCAACTCGATGGAACTTGACGATTGCTCTCCTGGGCAGGTTGTGCTCGCACGGGTGTTCCTCGACCTCAGACTGCAATTGCTTCTCGGCAAAGTTTTATTTACAAATCTCACGAATCCAGCTATCCGTCGATTATCATTATTGCGTGTGCCGTCGTTAAGGTTGCTTGAATGGGTGAAGGATGATGAGAGACCGGTTCGATGATTGTTTCTTTGATTAATGGTGGTGAGCAAGCTGCGATTATTCAATAATCGGTCGCTTGGAATTTCTGTGTAGTTGGAAGTATTGAGATTTTTATTTTTGATGTTAAACATTTGTCTTCGAATATCCTGTCGAGTAAAACGAAAGGGTTAAGAAGGAAGGTACAGATAAGAATATTCTCAAGGAACAATCTCAAAGTTTGCGAACGAAAAGGATGGGAATTCGTAATGTTCTAAATTAATTTTTTATATACGTAGATGCCGATAAATAATCCAGGGGTTCGTTCATGCGTGCTGTACGTTCGTAGTGAATTACGTATATCGTATGATCTTACCATAATTATTAAAATCAACTTTGCAAACACGTTAAAATGATGGTAATTTAGATCATTGATTTTGTCATTGTTTAGAAACCTTTTGATAACAAGGGAAAAAATGATAATTGTGAGAAAACAGTGGTGAAGTGATCGATGGATAACGATCGGCTTTTCGTCATGTTTTAGACCATTCTATCATCAAAAAAAAAAAAAAATCCAACCATCCAAAAAAGGTGACCTTAATAAATTGGTGAACCCGTGTTTCAAGATGGATCAAGTTTTGAAATACACTTATTCAATTCCTATTATAGTTACAAGCGGACCCTTGATGATGCGAACATCTTGTTGTCCAAGATGCAAAAACAAGGAAGTGACACAGTCGTGGAATGCAGTGTCGTAATGATGGTCACCGACGAGAAAAGAAGAAATGAAAAAGAAGAAAAATCGCATCACGATTACGTCGCCGCAAAGACTTAAAGTAATGTAGCTTATCCTTTTTTAAAAAGGGGATCCTTAAATTGTGTATAAACTGCACGAATTTGGCTATATGTACAGTATGTAGTAATAATGAAATTAATAATTATTAATGATATCAATAATAATATTTGGCAATTAAAGGAAAAAAAGAGAGAGAGAAAGAGAAAGAGGATGGAGAATGAAAAAATAAAGATAAAATTGATACTAATATTAATAATTAAATAATCAAAATATTGTATATTAATAGAAAAAAATTTTGAGCATAATGCGGTATAGTATAAAAAGAGGTTAAAATCAAATTCTTCCGAAAAAAATTTTTTTCACGACCCTAAGAATGGTTTCGAAAAATAGTGATATTGATTTCGCAAACAGTTAATGCCGGAAAGGGTTAATGTCAGACGGGAAGGTTTGAGAATTTCATTGCAAAGTTGCGCGTGACAACTAAAAAAAGAGTTAGCGCCGTGAGCACCGTCAGAAATCGGGACTTAAATTCATTACCTTTCTCCGAAGCGAGTAAAGTTTCCCATATCGTCACACACTATTTATGCAACCGTTCATAGTTGACCATTTTAGCTAACGTTTCTTTCATCCAAATGTCACGTAATATGGACTCAGTTTAAGAAAAGTGTTAACGTGCATTAAGCAAATTTCCGCACGACCTCCTGGAAACAAAGAATCGGTTGGCGATGTGCGATATCTTCATGCAGTGATATATCGGCTTCCCGCGACTGGTTAACATATTTTAATATTTTATATGTCGTTTTTATTATACGTTTGGAAATTGTTGGTTGAATGAAAAACGAAAGTTAAGGGTGAGTGCAATGATGAATACTGGATTTTCAAAGATTATTGTAATTTGTATAATCCGAAAGAATGAAAGAGATACAGTATATGTAATATAGATATCGGTTTAAATGAAAGCCATCTATGTTTTTTTTTTTTTTTTTTGTTGTTTTTGTTTTTTCGTGCGTGCCAAAGAAATCGATTCGGATCGGTGAGTCGAATTCCTTTTTTTTTTTTTTTTAATATGTATTAACACTAAAAAACGTCTATTTTTTTTTTTTTTAAAAAAACATTTTTCAAATATCAAAATTAACAAAAAATTCTGATATCTTCACCAAGACAATAAATAAATAAATAAATACAAAAATTACAATAATATAAAATAACGGATAAAAACTTCAGAATCGCATGTGCAGTTTATTTGGTGGAACTATGTCACTTCAAAACTTGTCTAGTAAAAATCGTTACCACCTGGTCTCGGTGAAGGGGCACGCTGTAGTTGATGTGTGTTTCCGTAATGTGCATCGTTATATGGTGGTTGTTGTTGATAATTTTGCTGCGGCATGTATCCCGAGTTGTTTGTCGAGTAATCATAGTATTGTTGTTGCTGGCCGTATTCCGATGTTTGGGAGTGTACCGAGGCTGTTTCGTAGTATTCTCCGTCATAATGTGACGCGAGTAAAGCATTATTTTGGTCTTCTTCGCCCGTTACCACTTGATGCGTCAAATGTATCGGCATGTTTGCATTCTGTTGTTCTCTTTGACGTTCTTGTCGTTTTATCCTTCTGAGGCGAGTACGTTCCCAGTCTTCCCAACGTTTCAACGGAACCTTTGAAGCATCAAAAGTTCCCTCCTTTTTACCGTGGTCGTCTCCTTTGCCTTCGCCTTCAACTTTTCTGGTTTCGCCCCAAGAGAAATCGTCAAAGTGCCAATAAGCGTAAGTTGGTAGGATGAAATTCCACACAGGTAAAGCCAAGAGATATACCACCATCCAAGCGATATAAATCAATTTTCGTGTTGTGATCAATATTAGTATGGCTGGCAAACCAAGGACCATGAATAACATGAGAAGCGGTATGGCTTCCGTGAAGTTGGTTGGCGGTTTTCGGATGAATTGGAATATCAAGGTGTACGTCATTAAGATGGCGACCGGAAGTACAACGGTGCCAACAAGATCCATGAACACGACAAATTGCATAGAGAAGCAGAAAGTTCCGCAAAGATTTCTGACGAGAACGAGTTCCATGAGGTTGTGGATGGTGGAATTAATCCAACGACGGCGTTGAGAAAGTAAGACCCAGAAGTCATCTGGCACGACGGTTTTGCAGATCGCTTGTGGACAGAACATCATTTTACGATTCGGGAAGTTTCGCAACATAAGGGTCGTCAAGAAACGATCCTCACCGAGCAATAATAGATTCTTTTGGTGAAGTGTGTCGACAACGTTTTGGGAATATTCGTGTACAATCTCGGGTTTGGTGATAATTGGCACCCAATCGTCACCACCTTTGCGTGCCTTGAGACGGTACATACAGAAACAACCCGGCAAACAGGTAACACCACCGAATACCGATTCAAACCCTTTGCCCAAGTGGTGGGAAATATAATATTCGAACACTTGAATTGCTGTAATCCAGGAGTCACGTTTGTTGGCGATTTTAGTTTCACCGCAAAGACCCATGATAAGTGGGTCGTTGCACATACAGTTGATTAAAAGTTTCAAAGAGTTGGGGTAAACTTTTGTGTCGGCGTCCACCTGTCATCATACCATCATCGTTGATTTGATCAGTTATCACGTGAATATTGGGATGCATGGCAAAGTGAGGATTAAATTATTGCCTACCATGAGTACAATTTCGAAAAAGTCCGGAGTGACGCCCATCAAGTGATGGATTTTTCTGAATAAATCGTAATCCAAAGCGCTCATGCGATCATTGTATGTGACACGACTGAAGAAGTTCATCAAAATCAACTGAGAGTCACGTTTTCCACGGTTACCGGGTTTTGGTTTTCCTTGTTCATCGGGTCCACCACATTTGACAACACAGATCATGGGGATTTTTCTGTCCTTCCATGCTTTAAAGGGGAAGCGAGATGGTAAGAGGTGTGGGCAAGACGATTTTTACAAAAACGTTGTTCCGAGGAACAATAAGAGATGATGACATTTTACATACGGAAGAAACCGGCATAGACTTTGGCCATATTATGTTGTTTCATTCCGGAAGCCACGGCGATGTAACTTTGGGGTTGAGGATCTTTGAATTCGGGCTCTATTGTTTCATGGGAGTTAGTACCGAGATGAAGTCAGGCCACGTGACACAAGCGAATCCTAAATAAAAAATAATAATGATAATAATAATAATAAAAGGATTTACCAAGCTCCATAAGACCGACACAAATGTCGGGAGTGCTCTTGTCGTTACCGCTACCAATGATAATACCATCACAGATGAGGAACAACAATTTACGGTCGTCAGGGTAGTCCGTGGATGCCATGGACTCACAAGTGCACCTTATCCCAGCTTCATCTTCAGAATAACATGTGACAAGCAAGACGGTGAACAGATCATTGCCAATATCGTCCATGGTCATCCCTTTCTTAACGGTACGAGTACCAGGAACCCAAGGTTGACTGTCAGAAACTGCCAGAGAAGATGCGGAGGGAGCTGGCTTGTGGGCAAGGCGATGAGAGATAAACCAATCGAACACGCATGCCATCATAAAACGACTTAAGACGATGCCCAAGATGACGGTGAGGGAGACGTATAAGAAGAGTTGAGAGGTGAAACAACCGAGTGTCTGCTTATCAATATTTCCGGCATAATATTTTTGAACGAGGCAATTGACGGTTGCTTTCAAGTTTGCTCTACCAAAGAACAGACGCGTAGCATCCTTTCCTCCTTGCGAATAGTTCGCGCTCAGAACTGTACGGATCACGTCGTCCACCGAATCACCGATGATCGGATTTGGATTTGCTTTGATGTAAGGATTAAGATTGAGCACATTGCCGTCGATGACTAAATAATTAGTCAAGTTGCTGATTTGACCCCAATCGTATCCAACCTTTTTTGTACTATTTACAATTTTGTAAGTATTAAAAGCCTGCTGCCCAATTGGCTGAAGGGGACAAGAGGGGGAAGATTCGCAAAGTGGTTGTTTGATGGCCTGAAATTTTTGTATGGTTGGATCCTGACAGGCAGGAATTTGGCTGGCATCACGCTGGAAACTGTTTGTAATGTCTTGTCCGTTTTGCGCTGATGCTTCGGATTGGAAGTTGAAGCCACCAGGACTAGAGGCATTGACAACATCAAATTGCCACCCAAGAATACCAAGGAAACCTATCAATAAATTTGATAAACGAGTTAATTTAGAGAACATTGAGTGGTTTATTGACACGTGATTTAACAAAACCTGGTGCATCGCCGTATCGTTTAAATAGTTCCGGATTATTTGCCTGCGAGGGGGGACATAGCGCAGATGATAAACCGATGGTCAAGAATGCAACACTGCCACCCATGAGAACGGCGATAAAACATAAGGCCATCTTTTCACGCCAGGCTTGCTGTGATTGTGCATCGTGAAGACCGGCAACTGAAGATAGAACAGCGCCGGGCGCCCAACATGTGACAACTTTCGAAAAAAATACCCATGCATCAAATGATTCTTTTTCTTTTCCAGGCAACATAGGAGCGGAAGCCTGGTATCTTTCGGGCCTGCTGAGAGTTTTCCGACGACTCATCATAGTGGAAGCTCTATTCGCGTAACCAGCCTCCATTTTGATTTTTTATTTTTGTTTTGTGGAAACAGAATTAATTAATGTCAATGTTGAGATCAGTAATGGTAGGGATGAATTACTTTTCTTGAATAGGAGGAGGAAGAAGGAGAGGAGAAGATAGAAATGGTTGCGAATAACCGGACGAAATTAAAGGAATGGAAAGTTTGGAAAGTTAATAAGGAATGATGGAGGGAGGAGGAGGAAGAGGGAGGGGAGGGGAGGGGAGGCAGTTCGAAAACGAAAAAGAAAATGGAGAAAGAAATTCGAAAAATGTGTCATTTTATTCACAAAAAACAAGGTGAAGATGTTGTGTGACAATTTTCTTAATTAAATACGGAATATTTGACCACTCTGAGGAAAGAGATAGCACCAGTGCGTAAACTACAAAAAAAATGTGTGTTAATGTAATTAATTTTAAGGTCATGTAGTTTGACTGTTGTACATGCCAGTAACGTCCACCCTTTGTGTCGTGCGTGCGTGCGCACTTGTAAATGAAGGTATATAATTTGCAGTTATCATGCATCCCGAAGACCAACCAGCATGATCTCTCTGTTCACTACATTATTCTTATTCTTAGCATGTCGTAATAATTAATGGCTAGCAAATAAGGAAACCATTATTAAAAAAAATTTCCGAGCACCGAAATCGGACCCTTTTTGTAAAGGTCTGCTATTTATAACTAACCGATTTATTGGTAAAATATCAGGTCATTCGCATCTGTGTAAAGTTTCATTACGAACTTTTGCAAATATTAACCATTCATCCCTTCATTTAGCTTCTTATTTATGCTAGACACAAGGGCATTGACTTTTAATAGCAACTAAAGGTTTCGAAAATGTGTTCACGATTATTTTCATGTCAATAAGCTTGGCATTGGAGGATCAATCTTAATCTTAAAATTGTTCTTATTATCATGTGTTTTCTGTATTCTTTTTTATTTCTTTTCCTAATAATAGAAAATACCTATTGCAAGTAAGAGTCAAATTTCTCGCAGGCATGATTAAATTTCTTGTTAAGCCGAAGTGATAGGTTTGGTTAATATACTTTTTGCTGTGAAATGTTTGCTACTTTTTTTTTTTTTTATCCTTCGTCCTATTCCAACACTTACCATCGACCTTTGAAATAAGGTTCAAAAATTTTTAATTCCACTCGAATGATCAAAATAACGATACTAATAATTTTTTTTAAGATCTTGGTATTACGGCGAAAACCTGTCATATTAATTCGCCAAATATTGTGCGACGGCAAATTTTTTTTTAAAAAAGATATTAGATCAATTCAATTTACTGACATACAGCATACAGTATAATCATTGCTGATTGGCCCGCCTATCTATAACAAACAGTCAAGTTTCGTTAAAAAATAGAAGGCAAGATTAATTTTTTAAATACCATTTTCAAGAATTTATTTATTCTAAATTTAGATTTTTGTTTGTTTTTTCAAAATACTGTATATTCGACGCATTATTAGTAGGTTCTTATTGATTACATTTATTCTATTTAATAAAATTGACAATAGCTAAAAGTATCTTGAATAAATTTGTTTTATAACAAAACTTTATTTTAATTAAGATGTAAAATAAAAAACAAGGCATTCTTTTTTTTTTTTAGATTTTAAACCAAATCTATATAGATTTATATATATATAATACTGCAGTGTACAATACATTATATCTATTTATTAGCTTTAATAATAAATAAATTACAAAATCAAATCAAATTAATTTATTGAAATTTTTATTTTAAATAATATTAAATATATACTATCTAAACAAAAGTATTACATATTATTTATTTAATAATTACATAAAATTTTAATATATTATATTTTATGTAATAAAATATCTATATATAAATTAATATTTTATTGACCATATATTATTTTTAGTAACTATTTCTATTCTTTATGATATACTTTCTATATAATTTATTAATTGATTTTTTGAAATTTTACTTTATTCTTTTTATAATTTAGATTCTAATTTTTTAAAATTTTTATATTTTATAAATTTATTTTTTATTTTTTTATTTTTTTTTTACCCATGGTTAAGCCAGCACTGTGTCTTTATTAATCAGTATAAAACTAATTAAAATGCATAGGGCAATTATATCATGGCTAAATTAAAACTCATATTCTCACTCATTAATAGTTTTCAATTCTCAAAAAAGCTTTAGTCTCTAAGTGCAATTTTGGAAATAATATTGTACTCTGTAATAGATTTCGAATAAATACTCTTTTAATTTATACATAATTATCAATAGATTGTTGCTACTTATTATCTTTCAAGGAACTGATTTTGAAAAACTACAAAAAGGAAAAGGAAAAATAAAAAAAGAGAATATATCTAAAAATGCATAACTGTGTTACATGAAAACAAAAAAATAAAAATAAAAAATAAAAGCACTTCATATTTTTTAAAAGACCTTTGTTAAAAACTTCTTCTTATTAGAAGTCAATCCTTCTAGGATATTTTTCTTCTTTTTTACTGTTTAAGAAACTTATTTATTTGTGATTTTGATTATTTTCTTATGCCTATCTAAGGTACTTATCACTTATTCAGATTCAGTGTTTTGCTCATTACTTCTTTTCTTTTGATCTTAATTTTATATTTACTTGTATAGAACAAAATAACTAATGGTGGACATTAAATTCTTATGTAGCTTTTTAGTCTTATTATATAACTCCCAATATCTTCTAGTAGCTACGCTCAGTTAAAGAAATTTTATGAATGTTTATCTTGATTGTGATATTATTACAAAATATCTAGAGAAATGTATTTTCAATTTTAGAAAAGGATAGTATTTTATATTTCTCTACTTTTTTGCCTTATAGTCTAACTGGGATAAGAAAATAATCTCTTTTATGTATTTTGCCTAACCAGAATAATAAAAAGTTGAAAGTATCAGTTTAAATAAATAATGATCTTTTCATTACCTAAAAAATTTAGTGTCCATCCTAATGGCCTTATGATTTCTTTATTTTAGTTACACTTTATTTAAAGAAGTGAAGAAGTTTATGTCAATAATTTCTCTTTTTTTCACAAATGATATTATCGAAACACATAATATAATCCATTGGAGCTTGTTTATATTTTACTATAAATGTGTTTTGTGTTAATCAATCACTTTTAGCAAAAGTTATATCAAATTTGTGTTACATCAAAATTCAGGATCAAGCTAAGTAAGCAAAATTTCTCAAAATCTCTAAAAAATAGATAACTTTAAGAGAATAGAAATAGTAAAAAGAAAAGTTTTATGATTTAGATTTTTGTTTACCTATCCATTTATTGCACAAAATCTTTAGTTATACTTTTGCTTTAGGAAATAAGCTTTCAATACTTTATTGTTGGTTTTTTTTCTTTTAGAACTTTTTTGCTATAGGTAAAAAAGATGTTTATTAACTTTTCTTGATTACCAGAAGTTAAGTTTTTGTTTAAAAAAAAAATATAAATATAAGAGAGAAGTTAGAAGAGACTCTTGAAGTTATCCTTCAAATTATTTTAATGAAAGTAATAAATCTTTATTAGTAGAAAAGTATAAAACTTTTTTGTGAATGTCTTTTTTGTATGTTATCAAGGAATCAGTAAAAAAAATTGACATATTACTTTAAATTTATTTTTATTATTATTTTTTTTTTAAGTACTCATAGTCAAGCTAGATTGTTAATTTTTAATCAATTGAAAATATAAGTATATTTTTATTCAAGCACTATAGTATATACTATAGCTAAACTATTATTCTAATCTAAATAACCCATCATAAGTGTAAAAGTTTTTAAATTTAACCTTGAAAATAATATTTTGCTTCACAGTATCTTTAAGTAAAACTCTTCTAGTATACTGTATTATTGCCAGCAGATTATCACCATTATATATTTTACCAAGCTACTGGAATGCAGGAAACTACAAAAGATGGGTTAAAAAAATGGGAAGGAAGATATCTAAAAAATGTCTAAATAGACAATAAGAAAGTGAAAAAGTAAAAATTTGAAAAAAAATCTTTCAAGCTTTCTTCAAAGACCTGTTTCTCAAGATCTCTTTTCAATAAAAAATGCCCAATTGAAATATTTTTTCTTTTCCTAACCATTTAAGGAACTTATTTATTCTTGATCTTAATTTTCTTCTTGTATATTGTTTAAGGAGACTTATTGCTTAGTAAGAACTTTACTTCCAGAATACACTTGATTTTAACCTTCTTTGGGTAATAATTTTTTATTCACCTGCAATAAAGAGATAATTTATAATGGATTTCAAGTTCTTATATGATCTAATAGGAACTAGATTATATTGTTTTAATATGATACCTTCCAACAGCTATATCTAGTTAAAGAAATTTTATTGGAATACATCTTTTATTATCCAAAAGGTCAGATTCATCAATAATCCTTTTGCATTGTAATAGTGGAAGAGTCTTGAAAAAGATGGAAATTCATATTAATTGCAATATCCTTTAACAACTTCTGGGGAAATGTATTCTCAACTGTAATTAAAAGATTGAAGCTTAGTAGAGAATAAAAACCTTTCGATCTTATTGCCTAATTGAAATAAGAGGAAGACCTTGGTTTTGAATTTTGCCTGACTGGAATAATAGGAGAGAAAAACTTCAAATTGAACAAATAGTAGCTTTTTCAATATCTGATGACTTTTTGCTTATATTTTATTGGCCTCATGGAACTTGATCTATAGATTAATCCAATTGAAAAAGTAAAATAGATATGGGGCACCAATCAACTTTTTCAATTATCAATGACATTATCGAAACACATGAAGTGATCAATAGAAGCTTGTTTATATTCAGCTATTAAAATATTTCATATTAATCAATCAGATTCCAGGTGACATTGTACTATTAGAAATTTAGGATCAAACTGAGATATGTAAAGTTCTTCAAGAAAACCATAAAAAACAATAAACACTTTAAGAGGGTATAAGATAGTATGTGAAAAGGTGGATAATAAATCTTCCTTTATCAATAGAATCTCTATTTATTATTACTTCCAGC